AACCCACCCCAGCCAGGAATACAGGGGCGTTGGGGCCGGCGGCATTTTAATCCTCAAGTTTCAGTCACGCAGGAATTCTTCTTTCTTTTCTTACCATGCTTAATTTAAAAATCAAACTGGAAGCAGAAGTCACACATTTCACACAGACATCTAGTGCAGGATGAGCTCCCGGACGAGCCTCTTTGGGTATCTATGAGGAGACAGGAGAGATGAGAGACCCGGTCCTCCTTTCCTATTTGGAGAGGAGGAAGAGGAACTTGCTGTCCTTCACATGTTCCCTGTCCTCCTCCATTTCCAGCCTGACATTTCCTGGGCACGTGGACGTGCAGCAACCCTGGGCTCCCTGTTGTGGTTGGTCCAGATCTGAGTCCTGCAGGGAACAGCCCCCAAAGAGGCTGAGACCCTGTGGGGGCCCTTTGCAGCATCCTGAAGAGGAAGGGGTGAGGGCCTGCATCTTTGTGGCTGAGTCCCGTGACTCTGGAGGCATCTCCCTTGGCTGGAAGGAAGGAGGTGAAGTAGGTGGTTCCCCAAGCCCCAGCCAGGTCCAGCCTCTCTGCTCCCAGGTGTTGAGCCCCCGGAGCTCAGCACCCTGGCTGAGAAGGCTCTTTGTAAGTGCCCGCATTGGACCTCCCAGGAAGCCAGAAGGCAGAGTAGACAGGGTTCCTCCTCATGCAGCCACCTCCCAGGGTGCCCTGAGGGATGCCTCTGACTTAAGTTCACCCTTCGATAAAGAAACTTCAGTGCTTTCAAAGTTTGTACTGAAGGATGACTGATTAGAAGACAAATTTCCTTTATTTTAAAACATCCAAGGAAACAAAGCTCTTCAACAATGTCCCTTTTATTTGCTTTTAACTTTCTGAGCAGTTTTAGCAGGTAAAACAGATAAAGCGAGAAGTTGGAGTGAGGTTCACAGTAAAGCCCCTTCCTCCTGCCTGCAGAGCCTTGCGTATCCCAAGGCCCCAGCTGGAGAGGACAGACTCAGGCAAGCTGCTCTCAAAGAAGGGAGAAGCCAGCGGCAGTGCAGCCCACCCCATGTGGCCCAGGGGACTGCGTGCTCCTGCGTGACACACACATGAGCCAGGGGGACACAGGCGTGCTGTTCCAGGCAGTGAGTGAGTGGAGGCCAGTGTGAAGCCAGGAGGCAGGAGTCTCTTACCTTTCTGCCTCTCAGCAGGAGAGCACCTGGCTGGCCTGGGCCTCCACCAAAGAGCCATTTCCCTGAAGCCAGGGGAAGAGCAGCCCGGGCTTTGGTTGCAGTCAACAGCTGGGCACACAAYGGCATGCCTTCTGAGGGACTTCTCAGGAAGTTCTCTGTTCTTGATTCACGCACAACCCTCAGAATATGTGCCTGCACTGTTCAACAGCTTGCACACGGCACCAGGGGCAAGGTCCTGGGGCCAGTAGCCAGCAGCAGTGCCATCTCTCCAGCACTTCCTAGCCTCGTGGCCACCACTTCAGGAGTCCTCTCTCCCAGAGACCAGTCACCTCAGCACTCTCATGGCTTCAAGCACCTGTCAGGCACTCGTCACAGACCACTCTTTAACTAGGAGTGGGGGAAGCACTTTCTGCCGGCATTTTGCAGCTACCCTGTCCATCCACAAGGGTCCAGTGTTGGTCGGCCATAGAGCCTGGGCTGCGTAACAAATTGCCCAAACCTAGTGAGTGGAAACAGCCATTTGTCATACTGACGTATCTGTGGGATGGGAGTTGGGATGGCAGAGGGAGGCTGTGCGACTGATCCTGTGCTCTTGGATCCAGAGATGTAGAGACGAACCCCTTCAGCACACGCATAGCTTTTGTCAGGTCCTTCTGCCAGAGCAGAGGGCGGGACACTCTGGGGTCAGAGACCTCACACCAGCTCCTGCGAAGGACTCGGGAATAGCTTCTGGGCATGCAGGACCGGCAGGAGACATCCTTCCTCACTGTGAAGGAGGCCTCTGTTGCCCGCGCCCCACCTCGGCGTGTTCTTTGGCAGTCTCCTGCCTCTTCACCGTCTTGACCTCCACCTGGGGTGTGTGGCTAGGATGGCAGAGGTGACCGTGGGTCCCGCCAGGGACTGCACTGCATGGGCATCTGCCCCTTGCCTCCTGGAGTTGCCCCACCATCTGGGAAGGTCCTAATAGCTCTGTCTTCGGGGCAGAAAAGGCCTGCAGGGCTGGCCGGAGCTGGCACCTCTGCAGGCCACATCGTCTTGGGGCTGTGCTGACCACAGCCCCTCACCTCCTGTTGTCCCCCACCGTGGCCTTGAAGGAAGCAGCATGTTCTGTCTCCTCGTGTTCTGGGCTGCCAGGTCCACACGCAGCCCATCCCTGTGGCCTGTGCTCCCTGACTCCAGGAGACCAGGCCCAGGACTGTGGTCTGAGATCACAGGCCACTGTTACGGCTTGGCTCTGGAGCCCAGCAGTGTGGCCTCTGCTGGGTTTCATTCACTATCGAGGCCTCAGGAGCACCCAGACTCAAGGAGAGGCGTGCTCCTCTGTCCCGGGCTACGTTGGGAGAGCATGTGGTGGCCAYGCACACCCAGTTGTTCCTGGGGCAGCATGGAAATGGACAAGAGCAGGTGGACCTGGCTCCTGGGTGTGCTGAACCTGGGGCTCTGGCCCTCAGGCAGTATGTGCCTGGGTCACGCTCCATGTCCTTAGGACTCAGGACCAGTCGTATCTACAGAGGACAGGCTCTGGGACCTCCATAATAACAAGCTCTTCTGTTGCTCAAGACCTTAGAGTGGGGTAGCATGGTGTGTGTCCTGGGCTTTAACTCTTCCCCAAGTGCCCTCTCTGGATGACTTAACTGACACAATGTCAAAGACGCTGTTCAGTGTGTTCTTTGGGGAATAATGTCAAGGAAGGAGTCTACAGGCTCAGTACTAATACGATGTTTTTAAAAAATATTTCCACCCGAGGTTGGTTGACTCCACAGACGCAGAACCTGCAATATGGAGGTGTGTGCACCAGCATGGTTGGTGCAGGGCCTGGCAGATTCTCTAACTTGTGCCTTGGAAAAGAAACCCCACCAGCGTGTGCCAATCAGACTTTCTGTCACCAGACATGGTGCTGTGAGCTTGTGTCTTTGTAATCTTTAAAAAACTTAAAAAAAAATCCACTGTTTTGCTTCCAAACTCTACCATTATTGTTTGAAATAATATTTATGGTAATTTTTTTCTAATTATACTTTAAAAATATGGGAAACTTTAGGAAAGTATAGAGAAGAAAATAAAAATGTTCAATAATACCACCCCTCAAAATAATTGTGAATATTGCAGTTATTTGCCCATTGGAGTATTTCCTGTGATCAGCTGTTCTTGCGTTAAGTCTTCTTAACGACTAATCACAAGTCTGGCAGTTGGGCAGGAGGGGGTGTCACAGGAGCAAGTGGGCTGAGCTGTGAGGACAGGAAGTCCTTCTGGACTTCCAATGCCATCAGCTTTGCATAATTACCATCTTCTACTTCAATACAGTGACCTTGTCACCATATCCCTTTCTTTCATATACACGCTTTCCTGCAATCCACTCGCTCTCTGCTTGATGACAGTAGTGATCACGGTTCCCACAGGCACAGCTGTCTTCCACCACAGTGGACCATTGGGACGTGAACTTTAAAGCCTTCCAGAGCTAATAAAGCACATGTCAGAGCACATGGCTGGCCTTCAATGTCATTCACAGACCCTGACTTCAGCTTCATGTGACAGACACGTGATCACCAAGGGCTTTTGCCCAGTGTCCCTACACCTGGGCCCTTRGGTCCTTGCTGCTTTGTGGCAGTCCAGTGCCTGAATCTGAACACACACCATTATTCTTCCCTTATGAACACTTCCTTTAGTGTATCTTGTAAGCCTTTCGCTGCTAGTTGGGAAAATTCTACATTTGGTTAAGTTTTAATTCTGGACTGATTTCTTGCTTTTCTCTTCCTTTTATACCAAGATTTCCTGTTTTCTCTCTGAATTTTCTTGACCTTGTTTACTTGTTTCCTTTAAGAATCTGTGGGCTGGGGCCTTGGGACGAGTGGCCAGCCCAAGGCCCTTGTCCATAGCGAGTTCTCAGTCACTCAGGTGGACCTGGCCCATGTCAGAATGGAGCGTTAGGAAGGGGAATCATCCTGTGTGGTTTGAAGGTGTGGAGGTGGTGCAGGATGATGGCCGGAGGAACTGGGCTTGTTGCACTCAGGTGTGGGCAATTGGCAAATGTCAGGCCACAGCCGAGAGCTGAGGAGCTAGAACTGGCCTTGGACCAGTTTGTACAACTGCAAAGCGTGGACTCTGCTCTATGGTGGTTTGTGCAGGACGGTGACACAGAGGGCCCTTTACTGGCTCCTGTGTGGGGCACGCATTTGGAGGGGAAGTCTTAGAGGAGCAGGCAATTCTGAGACTCAACTCTTCCTTCACCAAACTGATGAATTCTAAGTACCTTCCGAGTGCCAGGTGCCCAGGGGGGTCCAGCATCAGGTGACGTGGTCATCCCTGCTCTTGTGGGGCCTGTGCTCCAGGGAGGGGAGGAGGTGGCAACAGAATAGACAGTGTGCACTCATGTCTCCACCCCCATGTGCTTTGGGGTGGCCAGTGTTCAGACCCAGTTAGATTCCTGTGCCCTTCAAGGAAAACCCTCTGTCCTTGAAGCTCAGCCCATTTGCTCCTGTGACACCCTCTCCCACCCAGCTTTTGCTAGAATTCCAATAAGAGTGTGAGTCCCTTGTGAAGGCAGCTGAAAGTCCAGGCTTCCTTTTGATAAACCCCTTTCAGGAGTTGACGCTCGGGAAATCAGGCTTGGAAATGACCAGATGGGAGCGGGGCTGGGGAACTATGTGGATGAGCCCCCTTGTGCAGTCATAGCCTGAACCAGGCTCCATTTCCCCGTCACTTCCTCCAGGGTGGCACAGGCTCCCGTGCGACTCCCAGGGGTGTGGAAGCCAAGGAAGCCTGGGATGTTTCCCCACGTGTCCTGCCTGCACACAGAGCCCTGAAGTCCCTGTGGCCCACTCATGACCTTTTCTTTTTCTCTGGCCAGGAATCTTACATCTTGTCTGCAGAACTTGAAGAACAATGTGAAGCCATAGGCAGGAAGCTGCTGGACATGGAAGATGCACTTCACACGGCCATGCACAGTCACAATGGAGAGCTCATTCATATCCTTGCATCTTGCGGGTTGAACACCTGCAAATTTATTTTGTAAAAGAAAGTCTTAATAGTTGCCTCACTTCTCCAGGCCTTAGCAGATGGAAGCAGGTGCAGCTGATGCTTGCCCTGTAGTGCGCCTTGGGTCTGAGGTGGCCCGTGTCCAGTCTTTGGTAAGCCATTCAGTGTTTTTTTGATTATTAAATCTGACCACTAAAAATTAGCCACTGAGGCTAGACATGCATGCAATGAAGCCAAAGCAAAGTGGAGTTTCCGGGGAGTGAAGAGCCGAGCTGAGTGGCCATGGGGAATGATCAGGGCCAACTCTGGACGGGCTCTGGTTTTTAAGGGCTTTCCTAACTCCCAGAAACCAAACCCACCCTCTGGTTTCTTGGTTCCACAATTCTGCCACATAATGGGGCTACAGAGTATCCAAACTAGCAGCATTTTGGATCAGTCCTTCTCAGTGTCTAACCAGGTACCTGGGGTTAAGCTCAACCAGTTCCTCCTAATTCCTAGTGATAGGATCTTCTCACAGGCCTCCATATCCTGGTGTCTCCTCTGTTAAAGTTGGCTTYGGTGAGTAAGAGCAGGAGGACTGTTGGCTCGGGCAGGTGTCCACGAAAAGCCCTGTGTCCCAGGTGATCCGTGGGGCTGTTTACCACTGGCTAGTTCTCTAGGGCAGGTGGAGGGTACACAGGTGGACACAGTGATGTGCAGCCCACCCTGCATGTTTTTGGTGATTAAGTGTTGAGTGGACACTTTGTGGCTAACGTGCACTTTTCTCTTCATTCCTTCTTTCTGTTCAGGATTGTGACTTCTATTAGGTGTTTTAGGTGGCTTTTCTTCTCTGTGACCAGAGGGCTGACAAAAACATCATGGAGAAGGAAGAATTTATCTGGCTCATGATTTCAGTGGTTCAGTCCATGTGGCTGACTCTGTAGCTCTGGCCCGAGGTGAGGCCGAGCATCATAGCGGAAGGGGTGGAGGAAGAAAGCAGCTCAGGACATGGCCCCAGGAGGCAAAGGGAGGCCCCCTAAATGCACACCCCAGTAACCACCTCCTCCAGCCACACCCTTCCTGCCTACGGTTAGCACCCAGATAATGCATTTGTGGATTGATCCATTGATTAGACTACAGCTGTCATAATCCAGGCATTTCACCTCTGAAAATGAGCTTTTGGGAGACAGATCACACTTAAACCATAACTGATGTGTTCATAGGAAATTCAGGTATTTGAACTTTGCTTCTTATTACTGTTTTCCTTTTAAAATTCCAGTTCTTACCGTACTTTATTTTGTGTGTGTGTGTGTGTGTGTGTGTGTGTAAGTGATCCTGAATGGGGAAGGATTCATCTTAATCAAAAGTATTCAGATCTATGATTTCATAATAGATCCGCGTTGTTCCTTCTTTGCTATAGCTTTAAGTCTTTGACCTTGCTTATTAAGCTTAGCAGGGTATTTCTTTAACCGAATCAGCAAGTATTCTAACACTGTTCAAGGCAGATTTCTAAAAACTGACGTACGTTCTGTTCGTCACAGTTTCCTGCCTCTTACAGAACTAGCCTTCCTGCTGTGAGTGGAAAGCTCCCCGGGAAGCTGCAGGAGACAAACGGTGTCCTTGTGACTGTGTGTCCACAGATCACGCAGATTGGAGCTCTTCTGAGAGGGAGGTGAATGGCAAAAAGGCCTATGACTGCTGGTGGCACTGGATAGCAGCCCGTGACAGAAGGCCAAGGTGCTGGAGGGCCCTGTCACCACCAGCAGTGGCTCCTGAGCGGGATGTCCCAGGGCTTGAGCAGGGCCGGGAGCTGTTCTGAGAGCCACGGACAGGCCTTGTGTTGGCCTCTTGTTTTGAAAATTTCTAAAAGGTTAGTTTGATTCTAGGGAATTGAGTCTCCCTGCTATGCCTGGGCGGCAGGGGCGGAGCTGGGGAGGACTGAGCAGTGCGTGAACCATCAGCTTTTCCAAGTAAAGGGCTCTCAGATAGGTGGCCTCTTGTCACTCACTTGTCACTCAGGATATCGACACATACCTCTAAGTTTCTTGGGGTTGATGAGGCTGGATTCATGCTGCATGTTTAACAGGGTCCACAGGCAGGGTAGGGACTTGTTGGTCTCATGGCGCTCCACTCCACCACAGGCCAAGCTGCCTCCCCGGTGTGCCTGAGCAGGGCCACGGCAGGTTGACTCAGTCACTAGGGAGCAAGCGTTGATTATGAAACGCTCCTCTGAGGAGAGGGGTACTCATTCCTGCTCCACAGTTGAGAAAACCGGGGCTTGGAATTCCCTGAGCTGGACCATGGTCGTCTCTAGTGGGTGTAGAACCTCGCACCATGAAGCCTGCAGCTGCCTTGGCCAAAGGAGGCCCTGAATAGACAGACGGGTCCATCTCACAGCCCACAGAGATACTCACACTCTAGGCTAGAATAAAAGTGCTTATTGAAGGTAGCTTTTTTTTTTTTTTTTTTTTTTTTTGGTTTTGCTGATTCTTGCAGAGATAAAAGGCGAACCCTGGGGAGGTGTCACGGGCTGGGCACTTGAGTCCCATCCCAGGCTTCCCTCTGTAGCCTGGTTGGGAATAAATGCTGGGAAGGTGCCTTCAGGCCTGCTCAGAGTGGCACCCAGGGTTGGGTGGGATGTTGTGCCCTAARATAGGAGGTGTCTTTCCTGGCTCTCTGCAGCCTCCTGACAAATGAAATGAGGGTTTATCTGGAGGTTCCAGGCTGCCAGCTGAAGCCCGATTGGTTAGTTTTCATTCTTGATGGGCGACCCACTGGGAGTGAGGTTGGAGGAAAGCACTTGCTGCCCACGGCAGGAAGGGCTGACCACGAGCCACGTTTGATTCCTCGACTCGCTGCCGGAGCTCTGTGCACGTGGTGTGGACACAGCGTGACCGCTGCGAGCCACACAAGGGCATGGCTGGTGTAGGCTGGAGGGGAACACTGTGTCCCCCATGTTCCTGTCCACGCCTCCTGTGGAAGGTGCTGGGTTCTGCCTAGGCCGTGTGCACCACAGAGTGTTGGCAAGTGGCCAGCGAGTGATGGGCAATGTGGTTGTACACAAGAAGGTTCTTACGCATACTGCTCTGCGTCTGGGCTATGGACAGCCTGTCCCTGGCCTCTCCCAAGAAGGCACTGGACTGACCAGCCTGAGGAGGGACAGAGATGGCCATGTCTCCTCATTACCCTGAGGCCCATTACCTCACGAGTGGCAGGACTAAACAGCTCCTGTTGGATGCGGCGCAGTGAGCGTCCAACATAGTCTGCGCCATTGACCAGGAGAGCAGACAGCAGAGAGGGGCCACTCTGGCAGCAGAGGAGAGGACAGGAGCTGAGACTTCACAGCCCGCCAGCTGGGCTTCCAGGAGCAGCCGTCTCAGCCCCAAGTACAATTTCACAGTCATTTTGTGTCCCAATTAGTTGTTGCRTTCTGAAGAATCTTTTGAGCATGTACGATGGCTTCTCCACATTCAAGGCGCAAACTTAAAACCCTGCAGTGCAGGGGAGCTGAGCAGGGAACTCCCCGTTTTTTTCCTTCAACTTCGGCAACACACYATCACAGGAAATGAAGCACACCTGGGATTTGCACATTTGGGGCATCTTTCAAAGCCCCCAGGGCAGTTCTGCCGGCCTGGGTCAGAGACAAGCTAGGGACAGACTGGTTCTATTTGTGATTGCATTTACATCCATGTCCAGGAAGCCCTGGCAGAGTTCTGTTCCCTGCTATGTGGAATGTCTGGCGCCCAGTAGATTAGTTTCGGTGGTGCTCAATGGCGTGCAGACTCTAAATGCATCCAGAATAGTGCAGAAGTCCCACAGCTCTCGTCTGGTTCAATTTTCTAATTTGTAGCTTGAACAGACCAAGGTAGCCCAGTGTGGGAGCGTGCCCTGCCCTCTTGGACACGCTTTCTGCCTCTAGGGCTGAAGAGCTGGAGGGGAGAACCTCGGGGACCCGGAGCTCACACACTTCACGGACGGGGGGCTGTGCAGGGCTGGTGGCCATAGCACTCCCCTGTGGCTCCCACCTAGGCCTTGGGGTGAGAACAGCTGGGRACGACAGTGTGGGGAGGGGCACACTGTGGTCTTGGCATGGTGTAGGCAGCTCATGCAGTCCCTTGGCCCAGGCTCTGGAATGGACAAGTCTCTCCTCCTTGCCCATGAGTGGCTGAGGTCCCTACTGCTGTCCCTTCTAGGTGGTTCCCCAGTACCACAGGCCACAGTGGATACAAGAGGAGCAGTGTGGCTTGAAAGAAGCTGTGGAGCAAACCTCTAGCAGCTTCAAAGTCACCCTCTGGTTCCTTTTGGAATCAAGCCAGGTCAGAGGAGCAGGGGACCAACTTTGACTCAGCCATCTGAGTGCCACTAGGAAGCCTCATTGACAGAAAAGCTCAGTGCTGTCCTATAAAAACAGGACTCCATTGGACAGTGGCTGCCCTCCTGACAGTGCCCTGAGCTCTTGGACCCCTTCACCAGCACCTCATGGCACGTCCCTGCCTGATGAGGGTGGTCCTGCCTCAGGTGCTAGAGCATGGCCCTGGGTCAGAGGCATTCTGCAGACTGCAGTGCCAAGCCCTTGGCCGTGATTAACTAGCCTGCTCATTTTCTTAGATGCTGAGCTACCTGGTGGCATGTCTGGGGACATTCGAACTCAGCCTCCAAGTTCCCGGGCRCAGGTCCTTGGGCTAGCTCAGCTCCTAGAGGCCTGCCCCCACCCTCATTCCGGTGCAGCAAGCACCTAAATTACAGAGGCCTCAGCCATCATTCCTGGGGTTGGGTCCAGCCCTTGGACAAAACTCAAGGTCACACGTGCCAGAGGGCTTCGACTCTGAGCTGGATGGGTTATCGAGCAGAGACCAGCTTCTTCTCTACCCTGCTGCTCGGCAGCCCGAGGCTTCTGTAGCAAACAGGATAGTTCATTTTTCTGAGAATCAATAAGGAAACACKAACTCATTTTTGTGCAAACACGTGGCTCAACACACCCTCCATGCCCATCTCCAGCCCCTGCGCCTCCTGTCACAGCTCCTCATGGCTGGCCGATGGGCTTCTCCAGCTCTCCCCATCCAGTCTGAGCCCACTGGATCCCACTGTTCCGAGGACAATAGGATGTTTTTCAGGTTCTCTGCTCAGATTAAGATCAGGTGTCCCTCTTGATGTTATAGATGTGGGCTGCATCATCAGACTGTGGCCAGAGCCCAGCTACTTCTCAGCATCACTGCTACTGCCCTGTGCAAGCGGTGACCAYTTCTCCCCTGCATATTCGCTATCAGCAGCCTCTCACTGCTCTCTGTGCCTTTGCCCAGCCCCTCTGCTCCCAGCTCACTTGGAGCACTTAGTCCTCCTGGGCAGGCTACCCGCCCCTCAGTGTCCCTTTCTGCTGGACCAGGACAGCCATCCCGGCTCATCCCTATGCAGCCAACAGCATTTCTGAATGCATGGCTCCAGTCAGGCAGCATTTGAATATTTGAGTGACAGAAAGAAAGAGTGAGAATCTGGACCTGCGCTTTCATCTCTCCTGCCTGCTTCATAGGAAATGTTGCAAGTAGTTTCTTTTATAAATGTTCTGATTTAAATAAGAAAGCCATGCACGTCCATTGTGAATATCACASAGCTGCGGAAATTTTAAAAACCACGGTCTCCTTCCCAGGGCCACTACCTGGACATGGTGGTGACCTCCTAAAATGCCTTCTAGCTGTCAATGGCTTATCACTGTAGTCRTTGCAAAATTAAGATTGTTCCATAAAATTGTTCTGCAATTTGCTTTTTCTTCCCCCCTTGCTCATATTTTATCCTAAACTCTCTTCCATTTCAGTACATCCAAAATGTGCTGGAACTCCCATCTGGCAAGGAAGCGTGGGGTTGGGTGGTTAGAAAGATCTTATAATTGRAAACATGATTTTAATTGTTCTAATGGTTACTATCTCATGGGAGGCTTCCAGGATTTCTGGGGTCTGGCTCTGCCCTGACAGAGCAGAAGGTATTTGTCACATCTCTCTCTCTCTTTTTTTAATATATATTTTTATAACTTTATTTTATTTATTTATTTTTTAAAGTGGTGCTGAGGATGGAACCCGGGCTCACCTGTGCAAGGCAAGTGCCCCACCACTGAGCCCAGCCCAGCCCTGTTTATTACATCTCTTGGGAAGTAAACCTTAACTCTCTCACAGAAGGCACTATACTCTCACCAGGGAGGAAAACATTTATTTTTTCAGTCTTTGCCTGTGAGAAAGGCACAGGTAGTTTGTCTACTTCATGATGGGGACAGTCAGACAATAACCGTGTTCCCAGCTTCCTGGGGAGTTGCAATCCCATCTTTCTGACTCCTCAGTGTTTTWCGAGGACTTAGGATTCACTCTGCCTCCAATCCCACCTGCCTTCTCGGCTGAGTCATCCTGGACTCCATACYGTCTTGCGATGGGTGGAAGTCACAGCCTGTCCCCAACAACTTTCTCGCTGCCGCAAGCCCCACCCACAAATCCTGAGACGTAATGGACAGACCCTGTCTGAACYAGGCCCACAGCATGGGCAGCTGTGCAAAGCCCCCCTTGCCCTCACCGACCTCAGAGTCCTTCTGCTACCAGGAGCTTCGTCCTCGTTCCCCGTGCCCATCCACTAGTGAGGACAAGGCTCTGTCAGCAAAGGGGACTCCTGTCCCAGAGGCTGTGGTTCCCCCATCAGGGGGAAAGGGGTTTAAGGAGGTGATTCAAAGGCTACATTGCAGGTGTTCTGTGCAGAGCTGGGGTTCACTCGTTAATCTGGGAGATGGTCATGTCTGAGATCTTCTGGTGCCATCCCCAAGTCTGATTACTTGGTCCTGTCGGGGGCGTGTGCTCAGGACAGATAACTCTGCCCARGATGGAAAGACAGGGTGTCCTGTTTCCCCTTCCCCAGATTAGGGAGAGGGGAGAGGGGAGGAGAAAGAACTCTAAACTTTTTGAAAATGAGCCTCAGCAGCAGAGCAGCCAGTGCTGTCCAAGCCTGAAGTAGACTTCGGTTTCCCCTGTGGGCCTGGAGGACAGGCCCAGGCCAGGGCCCACAGCTCCTGTGGCTGCCCTGACTTCACCTTCTCTATTTGGTTTTGGGGTGGGTGGCTGGACYTGGTTTGCTAGATCCCAGAGTTGGYGGGGCCAGGATGCAGGGGATGAGGGTCAGCGGACAGTGTTGTCTGAAGGCCGTCCGATGGCTGATGGGGCAGCAGTCACTTTSTTTTGCAGCTTTTCTCTCTTTATACTTTTCAGTTTGTTCTGTCAGTGCCTGAAGTTTTACAGGTTTTTTTTTTTTTTTTAATCACATTTTGGTTTAACTTCTCTCTGAAAACCTTGGTCTTTGCTTATCAGATTGTGAACAKCGGTGTGTAGTCCAGGCTGCACAGCCGAGGTGATTAAGTCCCGTGGTTCCCCGGGATCACTCTTTGTGGTCAGCCTGACTTYGTGCTGAACTGAGCCTGGTATTTGTGATGGGCCAACTTACGCTTTGGCTTGCATGAAATTTTCCCTAAAGATGAGTAAAGATGGGGGAAAGCAAAGCTTCTTTCAAAAGAAAAAAAAACAAAAAGAGAAACTGTTTTTTTTTTTTTTTTTCCTCTCTTGCTTTCCCAACCCCACTCTCATCCCCCCTCAAGTTCAAGGGCAAGTAGTGAGCCTGGGTAGGAAATGTCTGTGAGTGACAGGTGAGGACGACCCGGGGCAGCCTCAGGCTGAGAGCCCCTTGGAGCTTGCAGGTGGCTGGGCCCTTGCTTCTGCTGGGGAGGCTCCTTGGCATATCCCAGGTCCTCTGGGCTCCTTGTTCTGGAAGGGTCATACCCTGTGGGTGTCAATCATTCCTGCTCTGGCACTGCTCCTAGGTGGAGCAGCATTGCAGGCGGTGGCCTGTGAGCCGTCAGCTCTCCCTGACCACCTTCCCCAAGCTTCCTCCACGTCTCCTCTGGAATGTTCCAGCAGCCTGACCTCCTGTGATGATTTACCCTTCCCTTTTCCTCTCTTCTCTTCTTTCTGGTACTGGGGATTGGACCTAGAGTTGCTTTGCCACTGAGTGATGTCCCTAGCCCTTTCTATTTTTTATTTTGAGACAGGGTCTTGCTAAGTTGCTGAGGCTGGCCTTGCATTGATGATCCTCCTGCCTCAGCCTCCTGAGCTGCTGGAATTGCAGGAGATGAACCTCTTAAAAGAWGAGCCTCATCTGTGCTGTACTTTGATTTGCTGAGTTCTTTGTTACTTTTCTCTGTATRAGAAACAACTCTATAAATAGGAAATCAGTTTAAGAGAAACAAACAACCCAGAAAAGGCCGGTGCCTGTACTCCATCAAATCTGGGGCCCCTGCAGTTACCTGGGAGTAAAGCAACAGGGCAGCWGGTGAAATCCCAGAGCTGTTTCAGAGTCGTCCCTGAGAAGCCAGGTTTAAAGATTTGAAGGGGACCAGGCTGGCCAGCGGTGAGCAGGGCCCAGGGTTCCTGGTGAGAAGCTGGTCCTATTTGGGCCTCTGTACTTGCAGTGGCCCCAGATCCTGGATTTCTTGGGGAGGCTGTGTTGTCAAGCATTCTTCCCTTTCTGCCACCAGAGCTCTTGCGTCTGGCAGCCGCCCACCCTGGCCTGGGGCTCCCCAGCCTTGTGCTGGTAACCACGTATCGCTGAGCATTTGCCCTGCCATCTGTCTCAGCCTGGGCGCCGAGTCTTCCTTCCACATTTCAGAATTGTGCTTCAGATAGTTAATAACCTCAGGCCTCTCAGAAATCGCAGCCGTTGTTAAAAGAAGTGTAAAATTTGTATCAATATTTAATTCCTACAATTTGGAAGAGCTCGGAACTGCAATTGGATGGCTCCATCTGCTCCAGGCGCTGGTTCTCGGAGGTCCCCCGGGGTGGGGCCGATCACCTCTCCTGCTCCTTAACAACTCGCACAGTCCCTCAAGGGAGAGCTCCAGATGGTGAAGGAAGCACTGCAGGCCATGATCCTGTCGCTCCAGACAGCCACGGAGGASGCGGGAGGAGGAGAGGCAGCAGCCTCCTGCCCAGCAGCTGGTGTCCTGGAAGCACAGCCCGAGGGCAAGGGCTGGGAGGAGGCGGGCCACCCTATCATCAGGGTGGACTCAGGCTCCTGCTCCCACAGCCTCACTGATGTGCCTGGAACAGTCGTGGAGACACAGAGCCTGGGGGTCTCCCAGCGGGGGGGTGGCCGTCCATTCTCATGAGCTGAAACGGGGCGTCTGCAAATTGGAATACTGGGGTGGGTTGCTGATTTTCCTTTTGAATGTCACTTAGAAGTTCACCTCCATGACATTCATGGGCGTGTGCTGCACAGGATTTGGAAATGTCTTCATCTCCGTTCCCACTGGACAGGTGTTGGAGGGAATTCTGGTGGAAGGGTGTCTGTTTCCCAGTTTCATCTTGCACTCTGCTGCAGTTAGAATATTTCATGATTCAAGAACTTGTGGAAAGAAAACCCAGGACAGGCCTCAGGACACCTGTCACACTTCCCACCACCTCATCCCTGAGAGCCAGTCACCCCAGCTAGGCTTGGCAGGTGCTCCCCTCACTCCCCGGACTCCCTCCTCCTCAGAGAATTGACCTGAGCTTCCAGGCATCAGCCTCAGTGACTGCAGCTTTGGAGGTTTTCCTGGCACCGGGGACACCTATGGAAAGGATGTCGGTATGGACCTTCTGAAGTTCACCACGGGGCAGGGCCTGGGGCGGGGACGGGAGCTGACCAGGAGACGCGGGCACCTTTGAGTCTCTCCTATTTCCTGCCCAACCTGTTTCCTTCTGTGATGGGAGAATCCCTGCGTGGAACCCTCTGAGCAGGGCAGACCAGGYAGGAGACCAGTGCTCCACCCTGGGACTCCCAGGGCAGCCACATCCCACGCACACTGAGGAAGGTGCCCCAGAGAAAGGCTCTGCGAACCAAAGGTCTGTTTGGTCAAGAAGCCAGGCCTCACCCCTGTGTGGACAGTGCAGTGCACCTGACATGGGCTTACAAATGCCAGCAAGGAGCTCCTCAACTGTCCACCCTGAGCCTCCCACCCTGAGTGCATCTGTCCACCCCCCATAAACCCAGTTCCTTCCCCATTCACGGGTTGTGCTGCTGTGCTCTCTGGGGCCATCCTGGTGCAAACATAGACTTGGGTCACTTGCACACTGACTTGTGCAGAGTGCTGAGCCCCGTATCCACCTGCCACAGACAGCAAGGTCAACCAAACAAATGCTTCTGTGCATCTCTTTTTTGTGTCGGGGACAGTGACCTGCCGGCCTTCTCCAGGACCCAGGGACACACAGCAAGTTTTGTCATTTCTCGGCCACGCTGCCATTTCTGTTTGCTAGCCTTTCCATGCATGGGCACCCTGGTCCTCAGGCAAGGACAAGGCCCTGCTCGTACCAGCGACTACCCTGGGCCCGGCAGTCAGGCAAAAGCACAGTCTGTGGACAAGCTTATTGTGTGTCCTGCAGTTTTATCCTGGATGTTTTCAAAAGCATATTCTGCATATTTGAATAATAGGTGTAATTAGTTTGTTCTTGGACTCAATTCTTCAATAATGGACCAAATCCCTGAATTATTTATAATCGTGTCTCAAAAAGTATCATGAGCTAGTCACGTGGCATGGGGATTCTTGAATCCTTAATGTACTCCAGTGAGGCAAAATTGAAGAGTCAGGACTGGCCATTTTGCCAGGAACAAATTCCTACTTTGACAAGTTTTTTAAATAGCCTCCCGGGCTCAAGACACCTAATAGGCCCTGGCCTGGGTGTTTTGTGTTACTGACAGCCTGTGAAATGCTTCTGTGAGGTCGTGATATATTGGAAGATTCCAGAAGCTAATGACTTCCTTGAGTGTGTCTCAAATAAGGGCTCCTTGGTGCCTCAGGGATGGGGTATTCCCTCCTGGCTGAGGCTCTCTGCCAAGCCCAGATGTCTGTGACCACATATTGTGCCTGCGCTCCAGCTGCTGCTTGGTCCTGCAGTGTCACCCAGGAAGGCTACTAGGGCCAGTGCCCCCTCTGGCCACACCACCTCCTCATGGCAACCCCTCTCTGTCCAGCCACACCAACCCCAGAAGACCCAGGACCCTGCATCCCCATCCACACTTCAGGACGGGTTATCTATTTCTTTTTTATTTTGTACTAGGGACGGAACCCAGGGGTGCTCGTCCACTGAGCTACATCACCTACTCTTTTTATTTTTTATTTTGAGACAGGGTCTTGCTTAGTGGCTGAGGCTGGCCTTGAGCTTGCCATCCTGCTGCCTCAGCCTCCAGAGTAGCTGGGATCACAGGTGTGCGCCACTGTGCCTGGCTACAGAACAGGTTTTGACAGAGCAATGTAAAAATAGGCAAGGAAGGTTAGAACGTGGACTTAAAAGCAATTTAACAAAAGTGGAGATAGCCGAGCCCACAGCAAGTGGCCTTCTGGTGGCTTAAAGCCTGATTACATTGGGACGTGTCACCACGACTTGGCAGGAAAGAGGAAGTGACATATCTATCACACTGCCACCTGCTGGCCCATTGCCCTCACAGGGCCTCCAGCTAGATGGAGAACCCTCACAGGGTTCTCCATCACAGTTAGGGTCCCTTCCAACATTCTGGGATTCCAAGGTTGAGTTGCCCCTTCCCCAGATCAAGTGGATGTGTCATACTGGAAACTTCTTCCTCTGGAGCAAGCTGGGGTCCTCCTAGAAACAATCATGGGCGGCTCCACACTCAGCCACCCTCACGGCAGCCTTGGGAGGGCATCTGAGGGTGACAGAGGCCCAGGAAGATCCCCTCAACCCAAGCTGGAGGAGGAGGAGGGCTTAGAGTGAGGGGCCACCAGAGGTAGGTGCCTGCTCCTAGCTACGCCTTCCGCCTTCCTAGTGCCGCACTGTCCCTGGGCACTGTGAGCCTGGAACTTGTCTGTTCACCCAGTTAAAAGCACACTCGCACCCTGAGAATCCTGGCCAGAGAGTCAGAAACTGGAGGAGGCAAACCTGCCTCGCAGGCCCAGGTAAGCCCCCCATGCAKTCGAGGCTTGGACAGGGTCAGCACCCAGAAGCCCAGCTGGTCCTGACCCAGAGCACCCACCACCCAGGAACAGCCCCTGGCTGCCAGACACCAGCAGGTGTTCCTGACAACCCTCCCAGGACAGGGGTTCTCCAGAGARCGTTGTGAGCCAACCGTGAAACCTGCTGTGGAGGAAGCAGCCCATGCCCTGTGGTCAGCGCCTCCCATCTGTGTCCATCTTGTGCTGTCCATGTCCTTGCCCTGTCTAATCTGTGAACTTGGTCATGTAGCTTATTGCTCCTGTGATTTTCCCTTTGATTTTATGAGAGTAGAACTGATATGTAAACCAGGGTGMTGCTCAGGGTTTTCGTCTTCTGCAGTGTAGATGACAGAAAAGCACCAGGTTTATTCAGCTCGTGTCTGGGCTACAGGGTGATTAACTGCACTATTCTCCTCATCACATCAACCTTTGTAATAAAGTCATGCTTTAAAACTGCGTCCATGTGCTTTCAAATTCCAATAGATCAGAGAACCATGGACCCTTCTACCCTGGGCCCTAAGTTAGGGAAGGTGACATTAGCACTGCAAGATATGGATTTAGCCCGCGACCCAGGCTGGCTTCATGAATGAAGGTTTGAAACTGAGAAACCTCTAGGTAGTTTTGAATTAAAGAGACAAGACTCTAGTTACCTTTAAATCAGCTCCAGGACAGCTCCTCCTAGCTCCAGCCTCCAGCCACCTATTGTGGTAGCGAGGTTTACTGAAGAGGATAGCGAGAAGAGAGAGAGAGAGAGAGAGAGAGAGAGAGGTGGGGGGGGGGGAGAACATGCCAGGGAGTGGACTTTTATTGGGGAACAAAAAAATTCTGGGGAAAATCCCATCCAATGAGGATTAAGGGGAGCAGCATCTCAAGGTCAGGGGCGACGATTGGGCCTTCGGGGTAGTAGCCAGACATGCCTCCGCACGGACAAGCCCTCGGACCTGAGAAGGGTGGGGAAAGCTCTGGACACAAGATGTGCCTAAGCGCCTCTCACCCAGCCAGGGAGGTAACTCAAATCACGTGCGAGGGTGGCTTCCCACACATGGGTGCAAACCTCCCTGGGTAACGGGCTGCTTCAGTTAGAAATGTGTGAGAGTCAGATTCAGGAGGAGGGGACACAGCCTCAGTGTGCCCAGGGGTGTCCTATTAGCTTGACGGATGATGGGCTTAGGCCCAGCAACCTCAAGACAGGGGTAAAGAAAGACTCATCTCAGTGGCCTCACAGCAGAGGAAGTGAGGGTGCACTCAGATTAGGAACAGGCACGTCCTCGAGGAGGGAATCTGAAGGTGACGGCAGGGGTGCAGGAGGTGGGAGTAGGAGCCACACTCTGCCTTTTTCCCTGGTCCTTCCGAGCGGCTGAGGCAGGAGGATCAAGAGTTCAAAGCCAGCCTCAGCAACTTAGCAAGGCCCTAAGCACCTCAGCCAGACCCTGTCTCTAAATAAGGGCTGGGGATGTGGCTYAGTGGTTAAGCGCTCCTGGGTTCAATTCCTGGTACCAAGAAAAATAAAAGTAAAAATGAGGAGCATTTCTTCTCTGGAAGTCGACAGAACCAACCAAAGGAATGTGAACCCTGGGGGGGACAAGGTGCCCATGTTGAAGGGGTTGACTCTCAGAGGCGCCCTCCTCTCTGTCTGTTTTCTGTATAAAGGGAGTGTTTCCAATGTGTGGTTCTGTGGCCCCACTTCACCGTCCACCACACTGGTATCCCACACTCGGGAGAACCCCAATGCTTGAGCTAGTGCTTGGGCAGCTTGAACCCAGCAGAGCTGAGTGTCAGCACTCGTGAGCACCCAAGGGTGTTTAAACCCTCCCCAAAGCAGAGTCGTCCCCAAACTGAGCTTGGCTGGGCAGTCTGGCCACAAACCTCCTCCACCCCTGGCCCCCACCCACTTCAGATCCTAAGCCCCAAGCCAAGTGGGACTGTGGACTCCAGGCCCTGTGGGCCCCGCAGGTGCACGTATAAACTGCCCCCCTGGAGCCTCCAATCCCGTCTCCAATCCACGTCATGGCTCCTCATCCGTGTCCCACTCGGTAGCCTTGCGAGCTGGCTCATCCCATCTGGTGTCTTTCTCTCTGGGGAGAAGGGCAATGGCGGGCCTGAATGCCTGAGAGCCTGCTGGTGGGCTGGCAGAGAGGCCAAAGAGCCTCTTCACCTGCTCAACGGGCCTCCACTCCTGGGGACAATGACATCTGTAACTGTCACACAGTGGGGACAAGGGAACAGACATGCTTCTGCTTCTGCCTCACCCTCTGCCGCGTCCCCTCGCCAGCAAAGGAAACATGACACAGGATTCTTCCTTCAGCAGTTTATTCAGGCCTTTATTTTAACATGTCTTCTAGCTTCTACTACTACTCCTACTGCTACTTCTACTTCTACTGCTACTCCTACTACTACTCCTACTGCTACTGCTACTACTACTACTACTACTACTACTACTCCTGCTACGTGCCCCAGCCTTAATAAAGCAGATAAAGCCCCAATGCACAACTGCCACGTGGATCTTTCTCATAGGGTGTTTTACAGCTACGTGCCAACTCTCCCAAAATAAGGAGTTGTTTATCACAGGCCACGGCGCTTATCAGCGCCATCTTGTAATGGCGGCCACAGTACACAGAAACTGCTCACTACAACCCTCAGCAGGGACAGCCGCAGGCCCAGGTCCCTGGGTGGAYAAAGGCAGCCATGCTGCTCTGGATGGTCCAGGGTCTCCTCTCCAGAGGGATGGGTAGGGCCTGAGAGGGACACAGGTGGACGGGCTCTGGGCAGACTCTCCCTGAGGGCAGGGGAGATGTGAAATGAAGATGGCAGCAAAGCAAACACTCAGAAAATGAGGGATGAGAGAGAAACACAGGGCCGAAGCCTGACTCTGACTTGTTCCCTTCTCCTGAGGGGGACGTCATCAACAGAAGGTGTGTGGCAATGGTGTCCAGCAAGCTGGGGTCTGACTCTTAAGAGCAAACAGAGAAGGAGCTCCCTGTAGCTCCAGGCGGACCAGGATGTGCACTCTCCAGAGCTGGCACCCATTGTCTACGCAGGAAGGTCAGAGCCTGTCAGACCACGAGACACACGCCCTGCTGTCCAGGAAGCCATGATGTCCACCCTGGGCCTGGGGACTCCACATGTGTCCCTTCAGCAGGCAGCAGGCCTGGCACAGGGCAGGGTGTGGCCATCAGGCCTGTGCTCAGGACTCCAAGGGCCGATGAGGAAACGGGAGCGTCCTGATCAGAACACACAGGAGGACCTACTGAATCCCAGAGCCGACACCAAGTGCAGAAATGAGAGCGGAAAGTAGGTCTGTCCTGCTTACGATCAAGACAGCAGCCTTTGCCAACACACGGCAGTTCCTTGTCTCTTTACTGAACGTTGTTCAGTCATGGGTAGGTGCAGAAATCGTCCATCAGGAGAGGTGACTTTGATTTCCCACTGTGGGCATGTGGGTGTGTGGGTGCTGACCTCAGCTGGACAGCCACCCTGCAGACCTCAGCTGGACAGCCACCTCTCCTCTAACTGTGTGACATCCTGCCTGTTTTGGTCACCATCCTCACAGCACTAGGAGCTAGGAGCTATGGTATATTTGGGGCACCATCCTAAGTGTTTTAAATATATCATCTCATTTAATTTATTCACTAATTCTCTGCAAATGTGGTCACTCAGGACACTGGAAACACTGCTAGTCGTGTAAGACCACAGGGACGTGGTACTGGGAACTACTTGCTGTCAGGGCTGGGAAAGAAAAATGGAGAAAGGCCACCACAAATTTTCAGCTTCCCCCTTGTAGCTTAGAGAATCCAGAACTCACTGCTCCTGCCCACACTAGGAGACCGCAGGAGACTGTAGCAGGTCAGAGATGACCTTCAGCAGAGGGTTGGGATGCAGGGAGAGCACCTGGGGCCACCCAGGGCTTCGTGTGCCTGGGGGCACTCTTTGGACCTTATTGCCCACCCCCAGGGAAGTAATGTAGGTCAGCCACCTTGTCCAACACTCTCATGAGAGCACACTGTTCCTCCAGGAGTCGGAGCCTGGGAGTGGAGGGATACGGGAAAGATATTAGAAGGGACTGGGATGAGGGCAGGGGACAGATACCATCAGTCACAGTATTGCTCCCATCTATGGCTAATTATGGAAGAAACTGCCCAGAAGCCAATGGCAGAGCCC